AAAAAAAAAAACAAAGAAGGGATTTAATATAAAAGTTTCAAATAATGCAAGAAGAAAAATAGGAATGAATAGAACTTATAAGTTGTCTCAGACAGTTTATAATATGTACTTAAAAGTTAAATAGACCGGAGATTAATTCATTTGTATCTAATACAGAATATTCTGCGATTAATACACGCGAAATGTCAAACGCCAAACACCAAACGCGAAATAATACACAGGCAACATCGATTAATAACTTTATGTTCATTACTGTTGCTGATAATCACGTGCGCGCGTGTATGTATATATAATCGTAAGCAGACATCGATGACCTTGAACTTCTGAAAAAAATGGCTGCAAAAATTTATGACTTTGAAATGGTTTTGAGAAAGAAATATTCTTGCCAGATATTCACATTACGTGAAAAATATTTGTTGCATTATTATAATTCGAAGAGATATTTAGATGATTTAAAATACATATATGGATGTTGTTAGTAGTAATAATGAAAAATAGCACATTATTCAAATAGTAATATACATTATACTAACCCCAATGTCTTTACTCCAAACCACAGTGTGACTGAGACTATCCCACATTTGCAACAACCTGTCGTGGCCTGCCGTTGCAAATTGCGGTAATATCGGATGAGCAGCAAGTCCCCAAACTTCTTCAGCGTGTCCCAACATCGCTGGGTTAAATCCCATTCCCACATCACCGACTAAAATGCAATTTCTTGTTGTTCCGATCAATAATTGTGAACCTCTTCCTTCAGCGACCGTTCGGATACCACCAAAATGATCCTCAATCTAGTAAATTGCACATATTACTCTTAGTGTGATAATAATGTAGACACTCCAAGTATTTCGAAGAATTTCACTGGTTTAATTTGCTTACAAAGGCTTAAACATGTTATCAATTATCTTTCAAAGAACAAATTGAAGGACAAACTGCAGCGAGCTGTTTATAAAGTATAAAAGTCATTGAATTTATATACTTTAGAATAAATTTATTTAAGTTATTGTATGCTAACAATATAATATTATATTTTCTTAAGGCTTACTTGTGCTTCTTCTCCTGTTAGGTTTAATGATTCATCAAAATAGAGTATTTTACCATCTTTTCCACCACCGGTAACAATAAAACCATCTTTCAAGACGCAAATCGAGAATATAGATCCTTCGTGAATATTCCTTACTATTTTAGAAATTGTGTTTGTTCCTACATAAAAAATGTTACAATTAAAAAATTTGCTATTATCATATATATTGAACGTTCTATTTGTAATTTTCTATTTGTAATATTGGATGTATGATAACGTTAATTACATTTTATTTTTATAATAATTGATTAAAATAATTTTAAAAAGATGTAAAATAATTTTTTTAAGGTTTAAAGTTTAGAAAAAGTTTAAAAAAGTTTAAAAAAAAATTTATTTATATCTCATTAAAAAAAAAATTCCATAAATTAACGTAAACTTATAAAAAGTATTCAACTATTAAGTATTAGTTTTATTTAATAATAGAATACTATATTATTGGTAATTCAAATTCAACTATACAGTAACATTATAACAACAGACGATCAAAATATTATTTTACAAATTATAAATATCATATTTATGTTTTAACATATTCAAAGTATATATATTTAATTCATATAATAATTATTTGATATTATTGAATAGTTCTACTATATAGTATTCAATATATGTTACAATAATTAAAAACTTTTTTAATATTGATAAACAAATTATTTGTTGCTGTTATAGAGAAATTTTTATTTTTACACTATATATCTAAGTAAGTCTTATTGAAATTGAAATTTTTATTTTCAAGAATTGTTTAAAACTTATAACGTGAGAACGTTTTTTAAAAAAAAAGTTTCGTCCATAGTTCGGTCCGTATTTTAAATAGAATCTATTAAAAAATTTTCTAACTTTTTCGATCCTTGCTAGATACATACATATATCACCTATCTCAATTAATCATCCTACTTAGTGATGCACAACTCGCGCCCCATTTTTGCAGCCCACGGACTTCTCGCGGCCTGTTTATATTTTTTTATTTACCAAACTTTTTAGAAATATGTTTCAATCATTATTTGCATAATAAAATTAATACAATTAAAAAAATTGCGAAAATAGTATAGAAATATATCCATATTTCTCTTTTTATCATTTTTGTCATTTTTTTTTTCTTTTTGCTTAGCAATTTTTAATGAAAGGAAGAGATTTGTTATTGTTATGGTTCGTGACTGAAACATAATGTTGCATGCAGCTCTTTATATTTATACGCAATCGTGTATCACTGATATAAATATTATATATAATTTTTGTTCTCTGTTTTTCATGCTACGCAAAGTTATTTTCATTAGAGAAAAAATTGCTGGATGCGAGACAGTATACTGAGCATATTAAAAATAGAATGAAATTTCTTTTACCTCTGCCCCAAACGATGATATTACCGTTGCTGTCACCAGTAAGAACATCACCGCTTTGATTAAATGCCACACAGGTAACATATCTCGGTTTTTCTCTGCTTTCGAAAATGCCCATCCGTTTGTACAGCATACCACCGTTATCAAGAGACCAAAAGGACACATGACCCTTTCCGCAGGAGACGATTTGGTTCCGTTCCAGCGGATGCCACTCGGCGCACACTACCGTGTCCACTGAGCACTGCAATTGACAATCGTCATTCATTAAATATCCCAGTGGTTCCGGTTTTGAATCACTTGGCCAAGTATATATCTTTGCAAACTGAACTTTTTTTGTTTCTTTGATCTATTCAGATGGGACTCAGTTCGTGTATATTAGACATAGATATGATGTCTAATAAATAACGTTCTCGACATAAATGGTGCTCAGATCATTTCTTATTATTAATTGATGATCATTAATATTAATCATTATTAATTCCTAGTATTCCTTCTTTCGCATAAAAATTCTGTAATTTACGCATACAGTATTTAACTACATGAAATTAGTTAGATATTTATACATATTTCATGTGATAAAATATCAAATATTGTAATCATAAACATAAATTTGTAATCTTTTTTTAGGCAAAATGATTTACGCAACTATAAGGTATCTTTTTTGAAAAAATATATGAAGAGATATTACAGGAAGGCGATAAATAGTTCAAGGAAGTTTGCATATTTTGATAAATTTAAAAAAATATTTTTATTTTAATGTTAGAATAAACTCAAGAATAGTACGTTACGTCTTTCATTAAATAAATGTTACAAAATTGAAATTAAAACACCTTTGAAATTAATTATTTTTCGATCGTATTATCATGATACTGATACAACAAGATTCAATTTACTACAATCTTTACAACAAGATTCTTTTTAATAGTAAAATTGCAAAATATGCATGCATTATTACAATTATGAAAAAGATATGACCGTGTATACATAGTTCGTTTTAAACTTTTTATATTCTTCCTTTAACATTTTTTCCCACTTCGATTAAAAGAAAAATACGGCTTATTACAGGTATGTAAATTTATTAAATTAAAAGTTGTAACGAAAAGTGTTATGTAAAATGAATACGCACTTTATTATACGTTACGTTCATAGAATGTTAATTATATTATGTTACTTAAATCTTCATGGATGGAAGATTACAGATGCTATAATTATGATTAAGTAAAGTAATACCTTCGTTTCCGTAACCTTCGTACCCCGTTCTCCTTTTTGCCAATCCCAGATCGAAATGTTGTGATCAGAAGTCTCGTCAATAGCACATAAGTAATTTCCCCCGTCAGCTTTCGAGAACGAGAGGCAACAAATCGAGCCATCAAACTCACCGTTGCCAATTACGCAAAGAGTCGTCAAACTCACTGAATTCCATATCCTTATATGAGGCTAAGAAAAATTCACATAGATAACAGATAAAAATTCATACAGATATTTTCATTTTAATTTCTTGCACAAGACACGTGACGATTAAACGAAAAGTAATATGTTTGATTTTATAACTTTTAA